TATGTCTAGTTTTTTGTGTGTACATAATTTCTTATGCTTAGGAAGTAGAATTTTGAAATTATCCATAAATTTATCTCTGAAGCCACAAAACGTATTTTTTTTCAAAAGCATACCTAATGTAATGTTGATTTAAAATAACAATCTTGCCCTGACTGGTGTGGCTCAGTTGGGCAGCGTCATGCAGGGCAAAAAGTCATCAGCTCAATTCTGGGTCAGGGTACAGGTCTGGGTTGCAAGTTCATCCTGGTTGGAGTTCGGATGGGAGGCCGCCGATCAGTGTTTCTCTGTTGCATCAAAACCTTTAGGAAAAAAAGTAAAATAAAACACCAATTTTCTTACCCTGTCCCTTCTAGCTCAGTAGGTTGGGGCGTGGTCCCTTACACCAAAAGGTTGCAGTCAGGGCACATACCCAGGCTGCAGGTTTGATCCTCAGACAAGGGGCCTACTGATTGATACTTCTTACATTGATGTTTTTCTCTCTCTCCTTTCCTCTCTCTCTAAAAATCAGTAAAAACATATCCTCAGATCTTTGGGTGAGAATTAAAATAAAATACCAGTCTTCTCTATATCTGAGTTATTTCTCTATCCTAAGAATTAGGCATGTGGTTTTGAAGACTTTTTTTTAATTAAAAATTTTTTCAATTACAGTTTATATTCAATATTATTTTGTATTAGTTTCAAATGTACAACACAGTGGTTAGATAATCATATACTTTACAAAGTGTTCCCCCTAAAAACATTTCTTGTAAGATTATTTTGGGATATTTACAAATGTCTATTGTTGGGTATTGAAAATGAAGAGAAATTGTAGAGAGAACAGCTTAGATGGTTAGAACTAGGCTCAAGTCAAGTTTTAACTTGCTGTATAGCCTGAGATAATTAATATTACTTCTTTAGGGCTTAGTTTGTTTATGAAATAAAGTAGTAGTTGGACTAAATATTCTGATTTTATTAATTTCTATTATAATCATGTGATTTTTTTAAGAGAAAAGATTTCATTTTATAATATGACTCATTTTAAAGAACGTAATATACCTGTGTTATTACAAAATTGAATATCAATGCATGTAATTTAATAATCATGATCCATTGTGGGAAAAACAGATTTAAGTGACAAACATAAGTTCTGAATACGTAGGACTATAACATAAGGTTTCTTAATTTATAATTGCTCATACTTGCCACAGGATCTAGTTGTATGTACTTTACCCTAAATAATAAGAAAATGGTTTTCTTGACCTTCAATTTCTCTGCTAGAATTCTCTCCATCAAAGTTCTTTTCACCTAAACCCTGAGCTGAGACTGTCAAATCTTAAAGTATACGACAGATGGTCACAGTCAATAGAGGTTATCAATCTATTCTGTGTTCAGACAAGTGCAGAGCTTCATGGTGTAGCACCAGTTGGATATTTGGAGTTAATGTTAGTTCTGGTCATTTTCATTAATTCTCATATTTAGCTTGGATGAGTTTTGGCTTGAGGCAGGGAAAAGTGGTGGCGGGAAAATGGAGACAACTGTACTTGAACAACAATTTAAAAAGAGTTTTGGCTTTATACATTTTACGGAACACTGCACGCAGACCCTTGATGTTTGCTTAGGTTGCTAAGGGTAGTGTTGTATGGCTCCGTGAGTATCTCAAGCAATGGAAATGCCTGTTCATGAGGCTCTAAAAAATGAACTTTTCACCAATGTAGATGCTCAGGCAAACACATGGATCACTTAGGTAATAGATTAATTTTAAATATGTAAATATATCAATAGATCATGGCCACTCTGCTAAATATTGAGCAACAAACCTGGGAAAATGTTGATGCTTTTAAAAAATTATATTTAGGCCCTGGCCAGGTAGCTCCGTTGGTTAGAGCGATGTCACAACATGCCAAGGTTGGGAGTTCGATTCCCTGTCAGGGCGCATACAAGAAGCAACCAATGAATACATAGATAAGTGGAACAACAAATCTCTCTCTCTCTTCCTCTCCCTCTAAACTCAATTATTTAAAAAAAAAATTAAGAAAAAAACACTAATGAATGCATAAATAAATGGAACAATGTATTGATGTTTCTCTTTCTCCCCTCTTCTCTCTCTCTGAAGTCAATAAATAAATAAATGATGATCTAACACTTCCATTTCAAGATATATACTCAAAAAAATTTAAAGCAGGGACTCAAATAGATACTTCATCCAAGGATATGTTTATCGATTTGAGAGAGAGAAAAAAAAAAACCCCACCCTGACACGGTATTGAACCCACAGCCTAAGGTCTGTGCCCTGACCTGGAAGGAATCCGCAATCTTTAGATGTGCACGTTGCCTTTCCAACCACCTGAGCCACCTTCCAGGACTGTACACCCCTTATCATAGCAGTACTTAACAATAGCCAAAGGGTGGAAACAACTGAAATGTATATCAACGGAAGAATGGATAAATGAAATGTGGTGCATATACACCCAATGAAATATTATTCAGCCTTAAAAAAGAGTGAAATCCTGATACATCTTGCAACATAGATGAGCCTTGAAAGTATTATGCTAATGTTAAGCCAGACACAAAAGGAAAAATATTGTGTGTGATACCACTTATATGAGGTACCTAGAATAGGCAAATTGATATAGATGAAAAGTAGAATATAAGTTAGCAGTGGCTAGGAGAAGACAAATGAGGAGTTGTTTGTTGGGAAGGATAAAAAGGTTCTGGAAATGGTGAATGGTGGTAGTTGTACAACATTGTGAATGTACTTAATACTACTAAATTGTATGCTTAAAAATGGCAAAATAACAAATTTTCTGTTAGAATATTTTATCACAAAAGTAACTTCAAAGAAAAAGAAATGTAGAGTTTACACCTATTTTTAAGAAAATATCTTGCACTCATTTTCAAATCTTGTTGTGTTTGACCCTGTTTTCCTACCCATTTCGTGGTTGCTTCATTCCCTAGAGAGCTTCTTAGTGCAGGCTCAGTGTGTGCTGGTGGATGTGGTTAGGTCAGAATCCACTGGTTTTGCTACAGTCGGCTTGCTTCTTATATTTATTAAAAATTTTGAGGGTATTTATTAAAAATTTTGGGTGGGTGAGGGAGAGGTAGTTTAAAGAGAAAAACAACGCGTGTTGGAGTTCCCATTCTAAAATGGAAAACATGCTTTTGGGGCAAACTGAAAGGCTAGGAATCAAGGGTGATGAAATACAGGCTGTCTGGCCGGCCCGATTTCTGGTTGTGGGAATCTGTTCTGAATCCAAGTGCAAGCGGAAAACCCATCTTTGGCTGAGCAGCCAGGGAGACCCTCCCACCAATCCCCAAATGCGCTGCTGAAAGTTTGGTCCTGTGAGGAGGGAGCTGAGGCTGTCCTCCCAAGCTCTGTGTAACTGTCAAGGTGGCTATGATGGGGCTGAGACCTGCCTCAGTCCTGAACGTTGGCAGTGACCTTGAGACTTGCCAGCTCACAGCAGCTGTACTGGTTCTTGCTCTACTGCCACTATTGCATCGCCAGAGAGCTACAGGGAGGGAGGTAGAGTCCTCCGGGTCTGTCATTCCTAGGAACTGGCAAGTTCCAGCTATGGTGCCAAGCTCTTCCAGCACCTACCACCCACTGGGCATGGGGACAGTCCAGGTGTGTAAGTGTGGGTGGCTGTTCACCTCTGGCTCAGGTCTCAGTCCTTGGGGAGTATGTAGCTCTCTGACCATCCGCCTGGCATGCAGACCGGCTCCATGTGGGGCTAACCTGCTTAGCATCTCCATGGAGGGATGCTCAGCGACAGTTCCTCTTGGTAGACAGAGGGACCAAAGCCAAAGGTGCTTCTTTGTCCCAAAGATATGAGGGAGAGATTTCTTTGGGAAATGAAGGTCACCAGAAGTGTCCAGAGCAAGAGGGAGAGAGATTTTCTCACCAGCCAGAGTGGCAAGTGTATTTTAAAAACTCCTCCCCCGACTTCATGTCTTTATCCTGTCCTTTTTCTTTTAAGTGGCTTTATTTTTTTTTTTTAAACCCGCCTTTGTCATTGGACATTTATTGACAGAAATCAAATTGCTGTGTTTCTGGGCAAAGCGCCTGCTGCAGAGAGGTGTGGTTCCGGAGGAATGAGACACGCAGCCCAACAGCTGAGCCTACACTGTCCTCACATAACCTCCCTGCCTTAAATATCGCCAATATTTAGCCTTGCCTTATAAAGTAAAAATGCACAATACCTTCCAGAATTTCATCAAGTCCAAATACTGCCCCCGGCACCACAGCTCAGTTATATCTTCTGTATGTTGGAGGCAGTGCTGCACAGCCCCCCCTTCTCCTCCCACCGTAGACCTGCCCTCCGAGCCACCAAGAGGTTACTAATCAGGGAGACTCCGCCATCGATCCGATGGTGGAGACCTGGGGGATTTGTGTGCATTGTTTTTGCTGAAGCCTCCTGTGAATTCATTGCGACCAGATCCTCTGCAGAGAACTCCATGTCGCAGCTTGTGGCTGCCTGTGTCCTGTGGTGAGAGCAGAGCTGCACAGGAGATCCTTTGTCTAGGAAGGCTAGGCAGAGAAGATCACTTTGGAGTTGCTAAGCTCTGCATTGCCATTGGCTGCACTCTTTGTGGGGCTGTTTTTGCAAAAGGCATGCCCAGCACTTCTACAGTGCTGGCAGGCCAGGGCTGCCTTTAAACACCATGATAATAATACCAAAAAGCAGTTTGCAGAACTGTTCCACTGTAGAGGCTTCCTCTGCAGAAGCAAGCAAGATGGCTACCTCGTGGGCTTCGCCGTGAAGAATGCAGAGGCTAATTAAGACAGACTTTAAGGGGAAAAAAGGGTATTTCCCTACTTCATCTTTATGCAAGGCTTTTTTTTTTTCAGTGACTTTTAAAGTATACATTTTACATAAGCTCTTTAGGTTCTGCTTAGAAAACATGTTGATGATTTTAAATGGTATAACTAGTTTTATAGAGAAATAGCCAAAATTTTTTAGGGGGTGGGAGTTCATTTTTTTCTTAAACGGAGGTTCATTTTGCAATTTGATTTTTTTTAGGTTATAAAGGAAAACAAGAGGCCCCAGAGGGAAAAGAAGCCCCAAGTTTTAAAGGTAATCAGCTATTGATTAAATCATATTTAATTTTTTTCCATTTCATATAGTATTTTTGTCACTTAGAAGTAAATTTGGAGTACAGTGGATATGCATTTTCCCAGATATTCAGTAAATGAATTTTCACTCAAGTAAAGTGTTTTCTCTTTTTTAGATGTGCTGCACAATGTGCATGTTAGCATCCTTTATTTTCAACTCCACACAGATTGGCAGAAGGAAAAGTTTATGTGCAAAGTGCTGTGAATAAAATATATATTTTTTCGTAGCTCCCTTTGTAGCATCTGCATTTGTGGTGTTGCTCCAGTGTGTAAACTTAAGCTGTTAAGAAGAAAGAACACTATTTGAAGTTGACAGCTATGATCCATTATGATTTAAATAGACTTTCCATTAGATACTATTTTAAAATGTGTTATTTTTTTCTTTCCAAAGGAATAGGTCCTTAGAGATTTTAGTTCATTTTAAAATGTGTAAGCCATTGAAATCTTACAGCCAAATTACAATTGCTGAATCCCAAATTTTTATTATATCATCTTTAATTTTGGCATTTATAGAGCTGTAGGAATATGCATGTTTTCTTTATTTTCAATAGTTTGCCTAATGAGTATTTAGTAGTAATCTAATTTGATTATAAGCTAGCAATTCATGTTATGAGCTTTGTACAGTATATAAAAGGGTTAATTTAAAAGCATATGGCATTGCTAAAAGTTAGAGGCTAGCTTTAGTCTAGCAAATAAGTGCTTATGTGTTAAAGGTTTCAAGTGGCATATTGCTATTATAAATGTAAGCAACCTGAGCAAGCAAGCTTTCTAATTCAAGAAGATATATTAAGCAATAAAACTACTGGCCTTGAAAATTTTATTGTGTACCTATAATTTAATATTTTAACCTACAGCTCTTCTTTTGCAAAAAAAGTTTTAGCATTCAGAGAGAAACATGTTGAACTAAGAAAGTGGCAGATTTTTATTTCACATGTTTCCCAGTGTGTATCTTGAAAATGTTATTGACATGGAGAACCAAGCCTTGCATTGCTTTCTGATTTGTCTGATCTCCTCAAGTTTCTGTTTCCCCTGTGTACACAACATTGCCATGTATAATGTTCATCAACCAACAAGTATTTATTTAATATTTATCACATAGTCATCTGTGGGCTCGGCACTGTAAATGAATGTAATTGCTCGGCACAAATTCTCACTTGGCCTGGACAAATAGAATACTGATTATTTTCAGGGTAAATTAAACCTCTTCTGTTTTTTTTTTCCTGCATATTGATCTACCCACCCTCTATTACTGCCCCCCCCCCGACTATAGAAGTATATCATCTAAAGTCCTTTTTAGGTGTTTTATCTTAAAACCTTCAAGAGAGAAATAGTTTCAGTTCTGCTGTTAAAAATGTCTCCAATTTGTTGGAGACAGGGATGAGGGTGTAAGATAAAAGGATAGACCTCATGGACAAACTTGGTTGCTTAAATCACCCGCCTTTGCTAGGAAGTAGAATTGGACTTTGGGAGTATTATTTAATTCTGTATTTATTTTGTTAGTCCATAGGTGTCCTGTCACCTGAAATAAATTTCAGAAATAAATATACTGTGTGTTGCATTTTTGAATCATGGCAGTAGACTCTGACTTTTTATAAGAATAAGTGCCTGTGGGTGGTTGAATTTCATGTACCACAGCAAGCAGAACCAACTTCTTGCTCACTCTCCTCTGTAGTTATTGACTGTTGTACAAGAGTAGGAAAATACACCCAGACTGGTGTGGCTCAGTTGGATGAGCATCATCCCGCAAAGCCAAAGGTCACCGGTTCACTTCCTGGTCAGTGCACATTTCTGGGTTGCAGGATGGTCCCCAGTTGGGGTGTGTGCATGAAGCAATTAATTAATGTTTCTCTTCCTCTCTCTAAAAATAAATAAATAAAATCTTTTTTTTAAGAGTAGGAAAATGCTCTAAAATGAAAAAAAAAAACATTTCCCCCGATGTTGGCATTTCAAAACATTTTATTTAATGTCCTGTTGGACATCACATCTTTTGTTCTTCTAAGATAGCTTTATTTCTCTGCTCCTAGAGGACATGCTAAAATACTTGGAGATTTTATCTTGATTGTGAAAGAGACAGTTAGAACAAATGTAGAATATTATGTAACCCTGAAGGAGATGTTAAGAAAACTAAATCCACATAGTGAGAGAGTGGGAGAAGAGTACAGCCTGCAGTTTAAGGTTTTATGAATGAGGACTTACTATGCAGCTGGCTGCTATTCAGGGAATCAGTGATAGGATCTACAGGTTATAACTCCGTGTCCTTTCGTAATTCTCTTTTTGTCTTTGGCATTGTACCAGAGACCTAGTCTGCTTCCTCTGACTCCGGCCTCTTAAATCTTCAAATATCCTGGGTTCTTGCTCTTTGTCAGGATAGATGCTAATAAGTATCTTGACTAACTTTCATCCTCATCTAATAGGAAGTAGTTGGATAGATAAAGAGTCTGATCAAGGAAATATGGTATAGAATTGAAGCTTGTCTTATCCAATTCAACCTGCTAACAAATACTGAATCCAATTGTGGAGCTGAAATTGCCTGGTGTATCTCAAACTTTTTTTTTTTAGATTTTCTTTATTTTTAGAGAAGGGAAGGGAGGGAGGAAAAGAGGGAGGGAAACATCAATGTGTGGTTGCCTCTCACGTGCCCCCTACTGAGGACCTGGCCTGCAACCCAGGCATGTGCCCTACACTGGGAATCAAACCAGTGACCCTTTGGTTCACAGGCCGGCACTCAGTCCACTGAGCCACACCCGTTAGGATTCAAACTTCTTATCTTTGAACAATTTATTGTCTGCCAATAACCTATATTCATTCTACTATAATTCAAACTTTAAAACAATAAATAGTGATCTTAAATTTCTGACCAAAAAAGATCACTTTCCTCTAGCTGAAATGACAGTTTCTGAGAATCAAGTGATTGAGGGGTGAGGGTGGCAGGTCGACACAACTTCTGCCCCACTGGTGCTCTAGGACCAGGTTCCTGCTCCAGCCCCGTTAATGACCAGTACAGTTATTTTCCTGTGTAGTTGGCGGCTTGTTCACTGTCCTGTAATTCCTTCCATGACTCTTGAATAAGGTAAAGGTGTGAAATGATTTCAGGCCTCAATTCTTGAAATTGTACTTCTAAGTGGCATTGTTTGGGACTTCTCTTGGTAAAAACATTTATCATTTATGTAAAATCTTTACTTTGTGCGTTGGGATAAAAGGATATATTCCCTTAGAGAAAACCAATTTTGCCATGATATCACTTTGGTTAGATTTTCAGTCTTTGTCTCTAGAGAAAATCAGATTGCACAGCCAACTGGGGGTATTGAGGAAAATTTAATAAAGGGATTGTTTGAAAGGTGTGGGCAGGCTAATGGAAAAATGACAAGTCTAATGATATCAGAGAGCTATTGCCACTCCTGGGCCTGAAGGGACAGGGATTGGGAGCAGAAACCCAGGTAGCAGAGTTACAGCTGAATAGAGGGAGCAGAGGCTTTTGTTGTAGCCCTTTGGTAAAAGGATCTTTCTGCAAAGAGAAGGTCATAGAGAAGGGGGTATGGAAATAAATACCCAGCCCTTCAGTTTCCTGTGCTTTCATTGGTTGATCCCAATGCTAAGTGAAAAGGAAAGGGAGCCTACTGATGAAATATGTCTTGGTCAGCCTTCTCTGGCATGCGAGAGGGTATAGAAGATGGAGTGTGATCCTGAAGAGGCAAACAACGTTCAGCATCACTAGGGACCACAGGGATAGTATGGTGGGGTCAGAATTAGTCCAAGGATCATGATAATGTAAGAAGGTAACACCAGGCAAGGCTTGGTGAAGTATATAGAATTCTATAATAGTTTTGCACCTAGTCTGTAAATCTAAAATCATTTCAAAATAAAAAGTGGGGGCATCCCTGAGAGGTGACCCCATTTATACATTCTGTAATTATATACTCTTTCTAGGATGGTCAGGGGCATTTTCTAGCTATTGGGTGATAAAATACCTTCAGAATAGTATTTGGAAGCCTGATTGAACCAATATAAAGTAATGTCAGTGAGTATTAAACCAGGAAACTGTCTACAGTTGATTTGGAAAAGAAAAAATGAAAACCAAGTGATCTTCCCACGAGCTTCTGCATTGGCAGCCCCGGTCTTCACTGCTTCCTTCCTTCCTTGATGGTGGTGATAGAGGAGAACACGGAGTGACGGTGGAGTGATGTGGAGTAGGGGGCATGCGATGTGGGTTTCACGCAACGAGAACAGACACCGGCATGCTGTTACGTCTTTTGGAAATACGTTTTGGGTGGAGGTGGAAGAGGGCATAAGGGTGATAAATGATAATGTAAAAAGATACAATGACATATTTTAAAATGGCAATCAAATCAAACATTAATCACATTCATGCATGGTCCTGATTTGCATGACATAGTTACACTCAAAATATTTAGTACTACCATCAGTGCCTGGCACATAGGAAATGCTAAAGAAATGTTCTTTCCTGAACATCATTATTATGAAGTCATTAAATACATTTTTTAACACATACTAAATGCTGGGGCTACAATGGTTTCTGCCTTCAAGGAGACTAAATTAAAGACAAATGGGTAAATTACAAATTACATGTATTTTGTGTCCTTCAATGTGTGTGTTTATATATGCACACACATTGAAGGAAACAAAAGTGCTGAGATAGGGAAAACATCTAAGGGAATTGGTATCTCTGAGAACTATTTCCTTCATTTATACATTGTTATACATACTAATGCTATTTAAAAGTACCAAATTGGCTGCCATTGAGTTACCTTGTTTATTTTTAAAATCCATTAAACTACCAAAAATGGAAGATAACAGTTATTAAAGATGTTTCTCTGTACACTTATCTACAATTTGTTTCAGTTATTAAAAGAAATCATTGGCAAAATGATAAACTTTTCTTAACTCTGGTTATAATGTAACATTCCATGACTTGTAGCAACATGTTGCAGGTTTAAGTGATAG